ATTTGCCTTCCGTCATCTCTACCCTATAATCAGATATCAAAGAAAAATGTTTTTGGAAATCACTTTCAGCACATGGAATATACATGGGCTTATCAACAAGGTCCTTGGTGATAAAACTAAAAACAAGGATTTTGTTGAAGCCATTTCAAATATTGATTTTATGTTTCTTACCGAAACATGGAATAACCAAGATATAAACATACCTGGATATGAGACTATTAACTCTAACTTGGCAAAACCCAAATCCAAATATGCATGCCGACAATCAGGTGGCATCAGCCTGATATTCAAAAGTAAATTTAAAAACTTTGTTTCCATTGTGAAAAATACTAAAAATTTTATATGGAGCAAAATCTCCAAAGAAATATTAAGTAGTGATACAGACCTGTATGTCTGTGGCACATACATACCCCCTGAAAAGTCAAAATATTTTGACCCAGAAATATTTGAAGAATTTGAAAATGATATAATCCATTTTTCCTCGAAAGCAAATGTCATAGCTCTAGGTGACTTTAATGCTAGAACCAGTAAACAAGAAGACTTTGTTTCAAATGAAGGGAATGAATACATTCCTGACACCAGTGAAAACTCATTTTATCTAAAAGACAGACAAAATTTTGACACCTCAATTAACAATCATGGCAAAAAACTAATAGAAATATGCAAAACCTGCGACCTAAGAATATTAAATGGTTGAACCCTTGGTGACTCACTAGGTCAGCCAACATTTCATGGAAAAAATGGTGTAAGTACAATTGACTATATAATCTGTAACCAAAACCTTTTACATAATACCAAATACCTCATGGTCAAACCTCCCAACTATCTTTCTGACCACAGTCAAGTTGTTGCTTGGTTTGATCTACAACCAGTCAGCAATCCCAAGACAAACATAGATAGTACATGTACTGAACAACCCAAACTAGAACAATTACCCTCACAATATATATGGGATAAAGACTCTGAGGCTGCTTTCACTCAAGAGCTCAAATCCAACAAAATCCAAAACAAACTCAATAACTTTTTAAATAATGATTTCTCAGACGAGAAAGATGGAATGAACCAATGTATAAACAAATTCCAAAACATACTACTTGAAGCATCAAAAAAATCTCTAAAAATAAGAAAAACGAAACGCCGATCCCAGATCAATAATGTTGCAAACAAAAAATGGTTTGACAAAGATTGTAGATTAAAAAGACACCATCTAAGAAAACTAGCCAACCAAAAACACAGAAACCCAACTAATACCGAAATTAGAAACGAATATCACATTGCCCTAAAAGACTACAAAAATACTCTGCAGATAAAGAAGAATAAATTCCACCAAGATAAAATTGAACAACTAGAAAATGCTACAAACGATCCTATACTATTCTGGAAAATTCTTAAAAATAGCACAGATGAAATTAATCCCAATGAAAGATCGAAAACACCATCACAGAGCCAATGGCTGAACCACTTTCAAACACTTCATTCGGAACACACTATTACTGAAAAACAAGAAGAAACTATAAAACTCTTGAAAGAATCTGAAAGATTTAAAGACCAATTTAATGACCTAGATAAAACTATTACTGAAAAAGAATTACTCACCGCAACTAGAAAACTAAAATCAAAGAAAGCTGTTTATAGTGACAAAATTAGAAATGAAATGATAAAACTTAGCGCCAACATAGCTCCACTAAGTTTCTTAAAGGTATTTAATAAAATCTTAGAATCTGGAAGATTCCCTGAAACTTGGACGGAAGGTCTTATAACTCCGATCTACAAGTCAGGGAACTCCCTAGATCCCAATAATTACCGAGGCATATGTGTCTCTAGCTGCATGGGAAAACTATTTTGCTCCATCCTAAACACTAGACTAATGGATTTTGTAAATGAAAAAAAACTGATACATCAATCCCAAATTGGTTTTATTCCTGGAAATCGAACTGCGGATCACTCACTCACACTGAAAACTCTACACGACAAATTTATAAACCAAAACGAAAACAAAAAAATTTACGCATGCTTCGTTGACTTTAAAAAAGCCTTTGACTCTGTATGGCACCAAGGCCTGTTTTATCAATTATTGCAGAACAAAATAGGAGGACATTTCTATGATCTTATCACAGACATGTACTCTAATACTAAATGTGCGATCAAACTCTCAGAAAGCCGAACCCCCTTTTTCCCATACAAAAAAGGTGTTCGCCAAGGATGCACTTTAAGCCCATTACTCTTTAATATCTACATCAATGAAATACCGAAACTTTTCGAAAAAATCGAATCAGACCCTTTCATGCTACCAAACGGAACCGAATTAAATAGTCTACTATACGCAGATGACCTAGTAATACTCTCCCGATCAAAATCAGGTCTTCAAAATTGCCTTGATCAACTCCATGAATGGTGTGAAAATTGGTTATTGTAGATAAACACTAAAAAGACAAAGATTATGATTTTTCAAAAACGTAACTCCAGCCAACCGACCAAGATACAATTTCACATTGGAGACAAAAAAATAGATACAACTAAGGAATACAATTACCTTGGCCTCAAAATATCACAAAACGGAAAATTCAAACTTGCTCAGCAACAACTGGGTGAAAAAGCTCTTCATGCACTTTATAAAATCCGAAAAAACATTGACTTTCGCAAACTAACACCAAAACTTGCAATGAAGATTTTTGACTCGATCATTTCCCCCATATTACTGTACAACTCGTAAAAATGTATTGTATTACATATATCAGACTATTGTGTGAATTTGTAAATGGACACTCAGTTGATGACACTCAGTTGAGGCAGGATTTCCCCCAGCAATGTGATAATGTAATAACTGTAATCTGACAATGTGGTGTAACCTGTTTGTGCATGTAGTTTTACCTGCTTAACAATAGTACCGTAGTTTAGGTAAAATACTGTCATGCATGTAGTTTCCCAATACTATGAATATTCGATTATGTCTAGGTAAAATATCGTAAGATGCTCACATGCAAGGACAATAATATATAAATAGTTGAAATTGTAAAATATGAGAGGTTGGCAAGGATGCTGGAATAAAGTGAACTTAAAAACCAGATGTGCACGCTAATTCCTAGTGGCAGTAGTGGGTTTGAAATCTAGAGTCCCTGAAATGCGATTTCAAGCATTTTGAAGGTGAGATTTTGCAGAATTACCAAGATACATCAAAGACACAATTTTTATGATCTTGCAAACATACTGTACCTTTTCCCAGACATTTATCTTTGGAATTAAATGACTTGGAAAAGTTAATTGAATTGTTGGCTGTTTCACCCAATATCAGAGCTCATCAGCATGCCTAGGAAACACATTTACTTTTTATATTAAAGTAATGCTGTGATTCCGACATGGACAGCCCTTAGAAAAGGCCAGATGAGCAGCCTGGTTAAAAGGCGCCAGGCATTCACCTTCACACCTCTGCCAATGGCAGGAGGAGTTTGGCTAGAAATGGGTGACCATTTGGGACATTTCATGGATGTGAAATTGCTCAGGTTTCACACCACCCCAGTCGATTCTAACCCTTTAACCCCCCCCCCCTAATACTACTTGAGCAGCCTGGTTAAGAGGCACCAGACATTCACCTTCACATCTCTGCCAATGGCCTGAGGAGTTTGGCTAGAAATGGGTGACTATTTGGGACATTTCATGGATGTGAAATTGCTCAGGCTTTACACCATCCCGGTCGATTTTAACCCTTTACCCAATACCCCCTACTACAGTAATTACTAAGTATCGAAAAAATAATTAATGTGTACACAGTTGTTTAATTAAATATTCGTTGTTATATGAGAATGGTGGCATGTAAAAATGATGTATTCATTTGTTTATCTATCTTGCCAAATGTTCCATGACAAATTCTCAGTTATTTCTTAATATTCATTGTAATACAGTATGAGGCATGTAAAAATGACTTGCTATTTATTTGTTATCTATCTTGCCAAATGTTTCATGACAAATTCTCAGTTATTTCTTAATATTCGTTGTTATACAGTATGAGAATGGTGGCATGTTACAATGACTTGCTATTTATTTGTTATCTGTTAAGTTATTATTATTCATTTTAAGTTATAGTTCACACTAGTATGACTACAAGTAAAAACATGCAAAACTATCTCATCCCTGTCCCACGAGGCTGCCCTTGTTTTCATGCAGTCAGTATTACGTCATATCATTACACCCTCCTTTCTTTAACATGAATGTCCAATAACTAACGCAAATTCCAACTTTAACACAAGTGTTTCTATATTATAAATATACTAAAATGTTTCCTTAGAGGTTCAATTGTTAACAACAATTTCTAGTTCTACAGCGAGAGTTTGTATGGGTTTTTTATCTCCCTTCCTGTTCTGGTTCTAGTGCGTACGCTTGCTTTTATTTCAGGCCTCTTATCTAAGATCTTTGTGTTTACCTGGTGTTTCTTCTGACTTGCCAAATCCATTGCCTGTTCCTTCTCTTTGCTATCTTTCGCTTTCTCCTGTATCTTTAACAAGTCTCTCCTATTACGTCTAAGAACTGCTCCGTTTTTACATTATACGATCTAGGCATCACTCTTTTCAACACTTCACCTCTGTCTTTCCAGTGGGGTTTCGCATCCTGTCTTACTCTGACACGATCTCCTGGAATTAGTACTGAGAGTTTCTCTGCATGCTGATCATGATAGAGTTTTTGATTTTTTCCTGCTCCTTTATGTCTTTAACATTGGGTGGTGTTGCTGGATTTAGAGTAAAGCCTGTGATAAGGAGATTGCTGTGTATTTTCCTACCCATTAGCAACTCTGCTGGTGTGAACCCATAAGCAAGAGGTGTAGCCCTATATGCGAGTAGTCCCATTTGATAATCTTCTTTGCTTTCAATCGATTTACTTATGATGTTTTTTACAGTTTGAACTGTCCATTCTGCTAATCCATTGGACTGGAGAAATCCTGGACTACTAGTTATGTGATTAAAATCCCATTGTTTAGCAAATGAGGCAAACTTAGCACTGCTATAACAAGGTCCGTTATCACTAAGGACCTCTTCGGGAATGCCTAATCGGGCAAATACTGTTTTCATGGCATTGATTACAGATTTACTTGACTGACTAGTCAATTCTTGCACCTCGGGGTAGTTGGAGTAGGCATCAACAATAACAATATAATGCTAATTGTTCAGCTCAAATAGGTCAGTTGCCACTTTTTGCCATGGTCCATTTGGAACTAGGTGTGGTTTAAGGGGTTCTACAGGATGTTGATGCTGGTGTTTTTGGCATGCTTCACATTGGTTCACCAATGTATCTATCTCGTGGTTCATACCAGGCCAGAAAACAACTTGTCTAGCCCTTCTTTTACACTTTTCATGGCCCATATGACCTGCATGAATCTGGGATAAAATTTCTTTTCTTAATTTTAAGGGGATAATTATGTGTTTACCTTTGTAGATGAGTCCTTCATGAATACAGAGTTCATCTCTATAGTTCCAATATGCTTGGAGTTCCCATGAGGAAGCTTGACGTTCATCTGGCCATCCGGCTTGGATTACTTTGATTAGCTTTTGCATCGTATCTTGCTCCATTTCATGCTTGATTTGTGTTTTCTTTCGGTCCGATACTAAAGTTGTAGACATTATTCCCTCAACATGGACTTGTACATCAGCTTCTGTGATGCTGTAAACTTTAGCTTGGTTGGGTAATCTAGATAAAGTGTCAGCTGTGCAGTTCTCTTTACCTGGGACATAAGTGAGGTGCAAGTCATATCTTTGTAATCTCAGACGCAGTCTCTCAATACGAGGGGGGCAATCATGTAATAGTTTGGAAAATATGACGACCAAGGGTTTATGGTCTGTGTTGATCTCTACTGGTTGCCCATAGATGTATTGATGGAACCTTTCACAAGCTGTGGCCATTGCTAGTGTTTCCAACTCAATTACTGCATAACGACTTTCTGCATCAGTTAATGCTCTGGAATGATATGCAACAGGTAACCAGTGTCCGTCAGTTTGCTGCTCTAACACAGCACCCAGGCCACTTCGGCTAGCGTCTGTGGAAATTCTAATAGGTTTATATTATACATAGCTAATAGTTTGGATTATACATAGCTAATACTGGTTCACTACACAGTAGGTATGTGTTTCAGTTCTTCAAATGATTTGTCATGTTCATAATGCCATTCCCATCGATTCTTTTGTTCTAAAAGCTTTCTCAAAGGCTCGGTTTTAAGCGAGAGATTAGGCAGGAATCTTGCCAGATCATTTACCATGCCTAGAAAACATTGTAGTTCCTTTCTGTTGGTTGGTTTTTCCATATTGTTTATTGCTTGTACCTTACGTTGATCTGGTTTAATTCCATCAACTGAGATTGTATCCCCCAAGAAAGTAAGCTCTTGAACTCGGATTTCACATTTCTCCATGCGTAGTTTTAGATTGTTTTGCTGTGCAACATGTAAAATTTGGTGGAGGCGCTGATCATGTTCTTCCACATTGGATCCCCATATAATTATGTCATCCATTGATGTGTCAACTCCATCAACATGTTCAAACATTTGGTGAATTGTGTGGTGGTATATTTCTGGTACACTGGAAATACCAAAGGGAAGACGTAGATAACAATATCTACCAAACTGCGTGTTGAACGTACACAGGTCTGAACTTTCATTGTCCAAGTTTAATTGCCAAAATCCACTTGAAGCATCAAGTTTGGAAAACACAGTAGCACCTGCAAATCTGGACATAACTTCTTCTCTGGTGGGGAGTTTTAGTGTTCTCTCATAATGGACTTATTTAAATTCTTCGGGTCCATACAGATTCTTAAAGCACCATTAGGTTTGTGCACAACAACCATTGAGTTAACCCACTGTGTGGGTAGTTCAAATTTTTCAATAACTTTCATCTGTTCCATGCGGTCTAGTTCATGTTTAACTTGTTTGAAGTGGAAACAAGGTATTGCATTTGGGATCAACTGAATATGCACTTGACCAGGTATGTCCCGAAGACCAGTAAATACATCCGCATAATCAGAAAATATTGGATCACCATTTAGTTGTTTGACTGTAGGTGTGTCTACATTCTCAGGACCTTGTGGTGGCGTCAAAGATATTTTAAGGATTTGTTGTATAAGTCCCATTTTTTCACAGCTTTTTAATCCTAGTATTGGTGTGACATCTTGAGGGCTGATAATAAATTTTAGATAATAACTATGACTGTTGGCATGCACTCTTAAAATACACTCGCCTTTCATAGGAATCTCACTGCCTTCATATGCAGTCAACTTGACTTTAGTTGGTAGTAACTTGGGTTGACCTTTCAAAGTTTTGAAATCGTTGAAGCTCAGGATGTTTACATCAGAACCAGTGTCCAGTTTTAGAGGAATAATAGTGTTATTCACTAGCAAGGGAGTGATCCATACATTTTGGGGGTCCTTAATATTTGTTGTTGATTTCACTGCATCCACAACAAAATCCTCGTCAGACATTACTGAAGTTTGTTGCTGCTCGACTGTTTCCACTTTGGTCTTAGGTTTTTCACTTTGACACATTTTCTGAAAATGATTAAATCTGCCGCAGTTATGGCAGATTCTACCATTCGCCGGGCAGGATCTTGATCCATGTGTATAACCACACCTGCTACAAGTAGATGGGGGGTCTCGTTTCTTGGTTTCAAATTTCGATTTGTCCATGCTGCTGCTTGGGTTGCCTCGTGTATTTCCGCTACTACTATTGACTTCATCAACGTTGTTGAGGTCACATGTGTTTGACAACGATTTCATTTGAGTGGTGGCCGCTTCGTCTGCTCTACAAATATCAATGCATTTTTAGTGCAATGTTTCCATGGAAACGTTGCACTATTGTGATGAGTGGCGAAATTCAAGCGAGAGATACATAGAGTAAACTTTCCGGGGGAGTTGCAAATGTTATCCCAATGCCATATCTAAAAAAACTTCAAGGTTGGAGAATTTTTAACGTTAAAACGGTATTTATAGCAACAGTAAAATTTCTTAAATTTGATTTAGCTTGACGATCAATGTTTAAAGGTCGACATTACAGCAATGTTAAAGTTTACTGAGATAACAAATATGGGGATTCGTGCCATTAGCACCCCCCGTATCATCAAATTTTCGTGAGAACTGCAAGTCAGCAAAATAAACACGCACAAATAAATATGACGACGCGTATGAGTGTTGGTCGAAATTTTAGAACAGGCTTTGGGCAAACGATTTAACATGGGTATGTATTATTTCAATGCAATTTTACACTCTATTTCGGGGCTTCAACTCGCTGCATTTCATACGAAGCCCGAGTTTTTGCATGTCTATTTATGATTTTCTTTATAGGAATATTTCAATTTAAATCTCGTAGCTCAATTTATGTCACAAAATTTAGTTGTACAACTATATTTCTTTAAAAAGTGTTCTCAGAATGCAGGAAATGCTATTTCAGAGACCAAAATTTTAAAAAATTCCCGAGGGCATGTGCTTAAACCCACCTTCGGTGTTCGCGTACTATCCAGGGAAAGGGAAAAAAAATGGCCTGGGCCCTTTGGTAGTTTTGCCCCACCACTGAAGAATTTATAGCACGCTCGATCGTCTATATTAAATCTATAATTTCAACCCTAATCTATCTTTATATGAAAAGTAATCTGCAATAAAAGCATAGTCATATAAAAACAGCATTTTTCTGATATAAAAATATAATTTGCGTGCTGTATAGTCTCATAGTACATACAGTCTGTGAACAACCGTCAATAGGTGTCGCAGAATTTGACAGAATTTTTTGTAATATTGTTTTAATTATTCATTTATTGAAGGCCCGCATATTGTAGCCTGTGCACATGCAGACAGCCGCAATGAGTTTTACTGATATGGATAGTTATATATGACTTGCATGAATGTATGAGAGATATTAAGATATTTGGTTTTTGTGCCGTATTAATTGAAGTAAAAGGATAATAACAAGCGCGAAGTTTGCTGATGGCATACTATAAATCGAGATATACTAGCTTTTAATAACAAAGCCTTTGTTTCAATAAATTTAATTGAATTCAAGATTAAAATTTATTATGTCTTAGGTACAGTTCGTAAGTCATCGTGTTACATTTATTTCAATACAATGTCAATGACAATGTTTACGTTTATAAAAAGTTGCCAAGTTGGCAAATTTTACTGTTTAATTTGGCAATTAATTAATGTGTGATGTGGCCGAAATTTCGGCCTAATCTTATCAAAGGTATAATCTTGTCTGCGTTCTGTATATTAAACAAATTGAAATGCTACAAAATAATATACAGGAATATCGACAAAACTAATTTTTTGATACCGTGTTATGTATATAAGCAATTGAGACATCCATGTACGACATTAAAAATGTAGCTTCCGGCAGCTACTGTTAGCTACGTACGTCACAAACGTAAACAAACGGTCGGATATTTTTGCGACTTGTGGTATGGTTGGACGGCGAAAATGGCTGTAATAAGTTCAAAAGTTCATCTAAAAGTTCAAAATTCCGTCTACTTCAAGCTTACTGCTAATTTACAACAAAATTAATTTGCAACAGTTTTGCATTCGCAAACCGCATCATTTGGACAAATGAATTGCAAAACTATCAACAATATGTTTGAAAGATTTGATATTACCGTATTGACTTTTCAAGTTTTCAGAAACATTGCACTATCCTTGGATCCCTAGTTGCAGGTCAAGTTCACTTTTGCGTAACAGTCTTGCCCGTACTTTGTCGCTTTGGATGCCTTCCACGATTTGATCTTGCAATAAGTCGTCGGCTAACTGCCCATAACTACATTTTCGTATTATAATTTTAAGATCTGTTAGGAAATGATCGAATGTTCCAGGTGTTGTTTTTGACCCTGTCCCACAAGGCTGCCCTCGTTTTCATGCAGTCCGTATTACATCATATCATTACTTTATCTATCTTGCCAAATTCTCAGTTATTTCTTAATATTCGTTGTTAAACAGTATGAGGATGGTGGCATATGTAAAAATGACTTGCTATTTATTTGTTATCTATCTTGCCAAATGTTTCATGACAAATTCTCAGTTATTTCTTAATATTCGTTGTTATACAGTATGAGGGTGGTGGCATGTAAAATTGACTTGCTATTTATTTGTTATCTATCTTGCCAAATGTTACATGACAAATTCTCAGTTATTAATTAATATTCGTTGTTATACAGTATGAGGATGGTGGCATGTAAAAATGACTTGCTATTTATTTATCTATATTGCCAAATGTTTCATGACAAATTCTCAGTTATTTCTTAATATTCATTGTAATACAGTGTGAGGATGGTGGCATGCAAAAATGACTTGCTATTTATTTGTTTGTTATCTATATTTCCAAATGTTTCATGACAAATTCTCAGTTATTTATTGATATTCGAAAATGAGGAAGGGTTTTACCTTAATACATGTTTATGTATATGCAGGGAGTAATCAAAGACAAAGTGTAACATGTTACATAAATTTTAAACGAGTATTCCCTTCAGCAAACTTATCTATAACTTTTTCAACATCAGGAACAAATTCAGTATGAATCCCCATCAGTGCCAAGCCATTTAAACGTTCTTCCACCATAGTGCTCCTCTGGTAGGTTTTAAGATTTCATAATGCAGAAAATGATCTCTTGCATTCACAAGAAATAATTGGGAGAGTTCCTAAAATACAGAGAATAACTTTAATGTTTTCAAATCCTTGAAAGCTAACACATTTCAAAGTTGTAATGTTATCTGGAAGAGGACCATTATATGTGTCCCAGTAAATAAACCACTGCCTTAATTCCAACCTGTTTCACAGGGTCTCACCTCCGCCACGCCCCCAAACACCGGCTCCAGTGAGACCCTGTTCGGGTATGGTCATGTGATATCCCAGATTTTGGGATATAGCGTAATTTGTCGTTAACGTGGGTACTTGGGGTAGAGTTATTAACTGCAGTCATTTCTAAAAATAGTAGAACTTGACAATTTAGTTAATGATCACATTTGGCAGTTTTCGAAGTTCTATATTTGAAATAAAACCAATTACACTACGAAAAAACGTTATATATAATATGGTTCGCGGCATTTAGACTGAGTGATTTAGACTCTTGTTGTCATCTGTTTCTTGCTAAATATATGTGATCACTGTTCACAATGATATTATTAATACATTGTGGATTTTAAAAACCGTCCTTCATATATATTAATATAATGCAGATCAGATGTATTTGTCAAAATAAAATGGATACATTCTAGTGTATTTGCTAAAAAAGCTTATCAACTATATACGATCTCTCACCTTTACATAAATTGAAAATATGCAGTGCTAACAGTATGTGTTTCAGAGATGTGAACCCTAAGTAACAAAAATGCGGGTGATATATAATTTTTGACATGACGTCATTTTTTGTTGTTGAGAAAATTGATTGGTGATTTATAAAAGCCTTGCTAAGCCCCATATTTCTAACTTCCATAGATATTTATATTCTTGTTTATGACAAAACAGATGTATACAAACATCTTAAGAGTTAAGTCTAGTTGAAGTAGAAGTAGATGTGCGCATGCATACACTCTACCAACCAAAAACAGAACAACGAATCAAGAATCAGAAGACAGAATCACAGAATGCGGGTGAATTGCTATAAAATTTGCTAATGCGGGTGATTTTATGTGCCAATTTTTCCGTGTGTGATGATTCCAAAATGCGGGTGTCACCCACTCAATGCGGGTGAGTTCACATATCTGGTGTTTATATATGTTTTAACGACTTGGCACGATGTTTAGTTTTGTGTAAATAAATGTCCGCGTATTATTACATGATGTTTGACAAATTTGCGTTGATTCTGTCATTGCACATTGCCATTAGTATAGTATATAGGTTTTATGTCAATCTGCACGATTCAAAATATTTACATGTTCATTTTGTTAATATATGTGATGGCTCTTATGGCTTCATATTACATGCTTAAATTGTAACTCTGTATGACTGCACATGTCTTTTGTGACGTGTATGTTATACCAAAGCATTGACAAAGTTATTTTAGTACAATTAACATATAGTTGCAATTATATAGTGCAAGAGAAGTCATCCACATGTTGTACTTTGACTTTGTTGAATTATTGTAAAAGATAAAACCGATAAAAGGAGCAATAATATACAATTTGTGACAGAAAGCAAACATACATGTTCTGGGTTTAATAATAGTTCATTACTTAATATACACAAGAAACAGTAGAGGGCCAACGATAAAGTGTTTATAAAGATACTTCTTCACTCACCAATAATTTTAGTGATAATTATTGGCATTGCAAAATTTATAATGACAACAATAGGGTCAATACACACAATAGCTTTATAGCACAACTGGGTTTGACATACTGCTAAAAAGGAACTTTCAAAATCAGATTCCTGCTGTGATGCTTTCTCTACTCTTTCAGTTACCTGGCTTTATTACAGTTGGACCTTATTTATCACCTAAACTATAAAGGCTGTTTAAAATACTCTGCTATTTTTAGTCAATTAATAACTGCTCAATCATGCCACCCCTTGCTACCCCTACTGAGTATAGCATGTGGTCATGACTCACATGAGCACACCATACCAGGGTCTCTCCGGAGCAGGGGGTGAGCGGAGGTGAGACACTGGGAACAAGGTTGCCTTAATTCAGTGTCCAAAGCAAGGAGATTGGGCAAGTCATCATGATAGAAAATAGCAACAATTTTAAACTGCTCTTTCCAGTCAACTTCTTTCTTACTCAGTGACATCATCTTCGCAGGCACAGTATTTAAACCTTTATAAACATTAATGCTATCCAAATTAAATCCAGCATCCAAAGATGATTGAAGATGATCTAATAAAGGGATAGTAATGGTTAGTTTATAATGCTCTGAAAAAAATGGCTGGGAGGGTTTGATCGAGTGGTTTGCCTTCCAACAACCCTTTTCTTCCCTTTCTGAACCTTCACCTCTTCCGACAACTTCAATGCTTCCTCATACCAGGTGTTATGGTAGAAATCAATGTTGGTCCTCATTTGTACAACATCATTTTTCAGCGTTTGTATCAAGTGGAACCCGTCCATGATATCGACACTTTTCCCTTGCAATAACTGGGTGACAAGAAGTGTAGTGTCAAGGATGTGTCTAGTAATAACTAATGCAACTATAAAATCAAACTTGGTAATGAATGTAAGCAAAGATGATGCATCAGCAGAAAGAGAACGGTTCGTCTCACCACTAACATTGTTAGCTATGTCATGCAGTGTGTCAATTAATGGGATAAATAGGTCTTGAAAAGTGTCAAGACTTTCAACCCGCTCAACCTATCTGGTTTTACAAAGACTTACCAGCTTGGTCTTCTTTGTATTGAGGTCAGAATCCTCAATATGGTCAGCAAAAGGCATATTATGTGTCTGTGAAATATTAATAAAGTTAGCAGCTTTGCTGACATTTTTTAGCATTTTGTTAACTTCGAGTATGGAAAGTGTGTCACAAACAGATAAATTCAACCGATGACTGTAACAATGGGTGTAAAGAGCTTTTGGGTTAACTCTTAAAATATGAGCAGCCAAACCATTAATGTCATTACCAAAAATTTCAGACAAAATGGCGAACATATTTAGAATTAATTCATTCTGAAATTCAAAATGGCATCGCTATTTTACTATAATTTATATAGAAAATAATTTAAAATGTAAAAATTTCCATACATATACATTAAGATCCGTGTTTGCCACACTCTTGCTGTAGAGAAAATATATCTAAGAGGTATTTGAAGCGATATTTATCACAATCGAAAGAATACCTTTTCTGCCAATTGCAATTTTATGATGTGGATTTAACGCCTATCCAAACCCTTATATTTCCCACAATAACTTCAAAATATCCTACCTTTGAGTTCGCATTGTAGGTAAAATATTTGTCCAAATTTAGTTGCCGCACTCTGAATCGATTCCTCTAGCCTTAAGCAATTGAATTCGATGAACAAGTGTTTCTGTGCATTTTCACCCACTCTGCCAAATGCTATTAAACATTCGCAATATTTAGCAGAAGAAATTCCATGATTTCAACTCCGTATGTCCAATAATAAAGCCAAAATAAAACAAATAATGCCTTGGTCGTTGCTCTTTCGTACATCGTTTTGGTCAGCCATGTTTTTGTTTTTATGAGTATTACCGCTTAAATGTCGTTTTAGGGGCTCAGATAAGGCTTTGTTCCCACCTATTATTTAAAACATTGACAAAATGTCTACCCTATTGAGCGATTATGAGAAGGAAAAATGTGCATTCAAATTGAAAGTCATTGGTTCACCTTTGGAATATATGAACAAGGAGAGGATAGATAAGTTTTCTATTGCCCTGGCTATTGAAATACCTTATCCATTATTGTATTTATGGTACAAAATAGCTGGCTTAACAGATGAGAAAGGTGATACTTTTGATCATATTGATCTGCTGAATGGATGCATACCAAATAAATGTTTTCAAGTAAGTCGAGCATCAGGATACAGAATCGAAGGTAGACTACGGCGGACAGCTGGCTCTGTGGTTTCTAAACTAAGCAAGGTTACTGGCAGTCGCAAGAAAAAGGAACTGAATTCCAAAACACATTCACTTAGTATATTGGTCAGTGAACTGGTAAATATAAGTGATATAAAAGAAATAGAATATGATGCTAGGAAACAGGAACAAGAAGCCAAAGATATCATCGAGGAGTGGTGAAAAAAGTATGCGGATCTTGAAAAGGAGAAGGCCAACCTGCTGGAGGAAATTGGAAGAGAATTACAGGAGGAAGCAGAGAGAGAAACATTAAATCAGGATTTAGCTAGTTCCAGCAAGGAAAATGAAGAAATACAACAAAGAGCAATTACTATTGAACAAAGTCTTAAACCATTACACCAACTCGGACAAAGACAGTGCTCAAGGTGCCTTAAAATGATCAAAGGGAAAGTAGGTGCAGCATTGTGGTTTTGGAATCATATGGTCTGAAACTGTCTGCCTTAAAGACTTTGGATTATGATATCTTTGTCTGCCTTAAAGACTTTGGATTATTCAGATGAAGATGCTTCTTGTGACGATGACAAAGAAAGCATTGAACAGGTTTTGTTCCTTCTAGATAAATTTTGTTCAAGTGATGAAATATACCATGAACTTGCTATTTCATATACTGACATGCCAAATCGTACCTCATCAAGCACAAAAGGACAGAATTGAACAAGGTAGCACATGTCGAAAGTATTCCTGGGATATATCCAGGAGCACCAATTCCCTTTCGGGAGACTTTAGTGGAGCATGTCAATGAGCTCCTGAATTCGAATCCCCAAACTGAGCCTATTAAGGTAAAAATTAGTTGTGATGGGGCTAAAATGTGTAGAACAACAAACTTTGTTATTCTTTCTTGTGCTCTACTGCAAACTGGAGATTGTGTGATGTCATCAAAAGGTAACCGAACAATTACCATTGTTAATGGTCCAGAGAGTTATAATACTTTGCAGTCATCCCTGCATTCAGCTATCAGCAAAATAAATAGTGTAATTAGTGATGAAAAGATACATGTTGCTGGACAGGACAGAAAAATTGAAATTTTTTTTTGGGGTGACTACAAATTTCTTTTGATGGCAATGGGGATGAAAGGAGCGACATCAGATTACGTCTGCTTGTGGTGAAAATACACAAACTTCAACGCTGGGACACCAGCAAGACCAGCAAGGGTATCCATTTTTACAGTGATAGTGAGATGAAGAGAACTCTTGAAGACATCAAATCCTGTCAAACTAAACAAACATTTTTCTGCTGTAACCACCCCCTTTTCAATATTAAGTTGGATCACATTATCCTTGATGAACTTCACCTTATGCTGCGGATAACTGACAGACTGCTCGAAAACTTGATAACAGAGGTTATGGAGCGTGATAGTCATGATTTTCTGAAAACAAGTCGGGAACCAAAAGGCATTTTCTTGGATAAATTGATAAAATCCATTAATGGCTTAGGCATTTCCTTTTCCAAATGGGAAAAAGTTAATGCAGACGGAAAGGGCAGTGGCACATATGATTGGACCAGTTTGGTGGGTTCGGACAAAAAAATGACTGTAAAAACTGCCTGAACAACTTGAAAATAACGATATTTTATTTCCTGATACAAAGACTGATGTTGTAAAACTTTGGCAAGATTTTGGAACTCTGTACAAGTTGATTGGTGCATCTACAGCACAAACTGAAAATCTGTTCCAAGATGTTTTCACCAAATCGAAAGAGTTTGTGGAATTGTTTTGCTCACTTTCATCTGCTCGTATTGGATATAATAAAGCCAGGGTAACTCCATATATGCATGCTTTGATATATCATGTACCTATTTTTTTGAGGGACCATGGGTCATTAAAACAATTTACGGGGCAGGCAAAATAACGATGATGCAAAACGCATCTTTTATCAAAAGTCAAATAAATGGGATGGAGCCAGAAATGTCCTGTTGCACGAACATCGACAAATAGCTCTGAAACACTGTGAACGAAGGAAAAGAACGTACAGTAAACAAAACAATGAGTACTGGAGTGGAGGAATTATCAAAACCGGAAAAAAAAGAATTAATTCTAAGAGATGGAGCACCAGTCAATCACCAGCCGAGCAATTAGTTCCAGTGCATGTTAACAACTAATTATAATGACATGAGTGTGAAGGAACTAAGAGAAGAAATCAAATCGAAGAACTTACATGTTAAAGGTCTTGCTAGACTAAAAAAAACTACAGGCAGCAAAAACTCAGTATTAACCCCCCGATTGACCCATTGAGTGGCAGTACTCTCCCTTTACAAGTAAAATTGTCTGGCATTAGACAGAGTAAAATAGTAAGGTAGGGTGTATCAGGGTGCATTGCCAGTTAAATGGTTAAAAATGCATGGGCATATAGCCTGACTAACCCACTAAGTGGCAGCACTGTCCCCTAAACAAATAAAATTGTATTGTGTTAGACAGAATAAAATTATAAAGCAGGGTGTGCATTGCCACTGAAATACTTAAGGGACAATGCACCCACTATTTTTTATTCTGTATAACAAATAAAAATCACACTTAACCCTCTGTTTCATTTAAACTTTTTAAATACTTTTACTGAACAAAATTCATTTTTCATTTGAATAATATCAACACATTGTCATAGATTTCTTGCTAAATAACCATGTCCTATACCCACATACAGTAACCCATTCATAAATTTATAAAGATAGTCTACACAAAACATCTTTGTCACAAGCCATTCTATTAAGTTCTATCACAACCTTTTCTTTTGGTATCTTTGGTCCCATTTCAACTTCCCCATTGTTGACAATATAACGCTTTTGCACAAAACTTAATTTTGTTTTAATCTTCAATGGAAACTTGATCATCACTCCTTGCCCCAGTATATCTAAGTAATAGTACCAGTACAAAGGCAGCCTAAATCTGTCAAAGTCGTTCTTGCCATATAACATGCCATCCGGACTTTTTTTCCCCCTTTATTTTGAAAAACAAAGCGAACAATGTCATGTTACATGTCGATTGTTGCTGTAAATAAAACACGATGACATCTGCTCTTTAATATACCAAGCACTGCTTCAAGGAATACAACATTAGCTCTTTCAAGACGATCAGCATTTATATGTGGTTCAGAATAACTTCTATTTTAAACAGAAAAAAAAATTAGCTATCATATAAACGGCATCAACAAAACCCGGATCAGAACGGATTGACAAAACCCGGATCGGAACGGATTGACAAAACCCGGATCGGATCCATCGGATTGACAAATGAATGTCGGTATTGCTATTAGCATTTTAATTAAAATTCCCTCTAAGGGAAGCCTCACATATCGAATTTGTCCACGAGAGACGTCATATGCTCATTTGGGGGTGGGGTTTGCAGCTGTGACCTTTCTCTGTAAAACATCGTGGAAAAATTCGATAGTTTTTTCGAAGGCCTTAATATTTCGGAATCATCTTTGCAGAATAGAAAAAAGAAAACAACATGGTACAAACACCAGTATATACATTTGTAATACTATACCTGTTCCAAACATTTATATTATTTTTGCGCCTTCCTTGCATTGAAAACACTCAAACTTCAAGAAAAACGCGCTAAAATTGTTTTAAGAAACGTTGGTAATTTTGAAGTTCATATAATATTAATAAAAAACATATGTCAGCGGAAGAATACATATTATTCCTCGCGCCGGCAAGCATCGCCAATTGCCGACCCGGCGTAGAAAATTACCTTTATATGTGTATGATAAGAACAAAATATCGATAACTTGTGTCACGTCTCTCTAGAGAAACGTCCATATGACTTTTTCATGGACAAAATCAATATTCCTCCCTAATAGAACCGAATAAACAAAGTATAAACAAAGGTTTTTAGTATAAACAAAGTATAAACAAAAGTTTTTAGCTTAATCCGGGTTTTGTCAATCCGATCCGGGTTTTGCCAATCCGTTCCGATCCGGGTTTTGTCAATCCGTTCCGATCCGTGTTTTGTCAATCCGTTCCGATCCGGGTTTTGTTGATGCCGTCATATAAATACTAAAGTAGGGCACATCTGGGCGCATTGCAATATACAATTAATAGGCTACCTAGAGCCCTAAATTCTGTTAACAATAATTAGATGATTAGGTAAAGATTCGTATAACTTAAATATGTTTCAAGACTACTATGTGTGACTACGAACTAAAAATCAATAGACTTAAATACAGATTGCACAAGAAACACTGGCATCTCCACTGCAACTTACAACACGAAAATATGCTGCGTACCTTTTTCGTTTGCCGTTTGCTCATTACTCGTTCTACGAAGTGTAGACTTGCCGCAAAATGTCGTCTTTTCTTTTTCCTCACTGACTCAGCTGTTAAATCCGCAGAACATAACTGATTCAGCTCTTTGTAGTCAACCCTTTGCCTCCTTCGAGTAGTAACTGCCATGTTGAAAATAAATTCCAAACAGATACAGCGTGCGCCAGCAACAGCACCTGCACCATCATAACCTTGTCCCCTGCAATCATCAATTGACAATGTTGAGTCATCCAAGGCTTCTAAAATAAGTTTATCAAGATTTTTACCACTTAATCCCCAATTACAATGCAAAAAAACAAATGATTCTTGTCTAACATTCATACCACTATCAACAAATCGCAGGATAGCTGTTCTTTGTGAGAAGAGTCAGCAGCTTCATCTGCAATTATGGTATATTACCTACTTTCCTTAATCTCCTTAATAAGATTTTCAGATATTACCTGACCAATACATTAAATAATCTTGTTTTGGCTTGTCTTGGGTATGTAGCTTCTATTTTTACCACATTCAGACAAATGAGTTTTCAAAGTATTATCCCCAGCTCTCACTCTAAAATTAAGGGATTCAATAAAATTACCAACATTCCCATTGGTAGAGTAACAACCAACCTCAGGATGATACTTGGAGTCATCATGGTGGCCTCGCAGACCCATGCCAAGCCTGCCACAAAATAGAACAGAATCTACAATAGGCCTAAGAATTTCCCTATTTTTTTCAATTTCCTTTTTGACATTTGCATCCATGATATTATCAATGGGTTGTGAAGTACCTGTCATTTGAGAAAGTAAACCAGTTAGCATTGGAAAAGTACATGCATGCAGTCCCATTTCTCCCACAGTGTTATTCCCAGCATGCCATTTAAAAGTAGACATGGCATCATTCCAATAACGAAAAGGCTTAGACACTAATCTAGTAATTCTAGAACTTCTATGTGGGAAATGATCCCCAAAAAGTACACAAGATAAACAATACGCACCATCTTCTGAAGCAGAATAACAAAGCCAGGGAAAGAGATCAAGTCACTCATACCTAAAAGTTCTCTTGTTTTTCTCACTCAAACAAGGAAAAACATAATGTCTGTGCGGCCTAAAAACACTCTTAATTAAAGTGCAGATTTCAGGAGTATTCAATCATTTAACCTTTTGCTTGTAAGAGGCAATATCAAAATTACTAATTGGTAATGGTAAAGTGGTTTTTACCTGGTCATCAGATAGCTCTGAATTCTCTAATGAATATTCAGGAGGCTGCAATGGTTTTGAGTTAGCAAGAGGAATATCAGTTGTAACCATTGATGCAAGTTGTGCTTTGGAAGAAAAAGTTTCATTAGGTGCCCTGGTATAAGTGGTATTAGTACAAACACTCACCACAGCTCGTTTTTCTTCTTTTTGAAAAAACTTGAAAATATCCCCATCCACCTTTTTAGCCACTTTTAATTTCTTAGATGACACAGAGCTACATGTAGTTGCACTTGAACATTTTCTTTTATGTTTGCTGGAATAAAAAACTAGAGGAGCAAAATGGTTAGGCTGTGTTGTAAATTAAGATCTTCACTCATAGAAAAAGTTGAATAATAATAATAATAACAAACAAATTTACATAAATGAACGTTGTGTTAAATATTTTCAAGTTCTGTTCTCAAATCCAAACTCTACACTCCCAAAACATGTGTTTCACGTCACGAGAATCGCACGAGACTGTCTCATTCTACGATAATTATACATACTCCCCACCTTGACAGATCAGAAATATATCTGTCAAAATATATCTGTCAATTATTTCAGTACATACAGTTTCAGTCCATGTTTTCTGCACTTGCTCTTTCAACAAAGGTGATTGGAAACTCATTTGTATCTTCATGTTCAAGTTTGCTGTCTTTCACTTCAACGGGATATAGTCTTTGTACCGCTCTTCTAGTTGTCGCGAGTTTTCCGGCTTTATTGAACATTCTTACTGTTGCAGCTCGAACATTTCCATCTCTCCCTTTAAGTGAACTTTCTATCACCGCGATGGGCCAATTTAATCTTTTAACGTTGTCTTCCTGAATCAGAACGACATCTCTGACTTTAACTTCTAGGCCGTCTTTCTTTCTTGGTTGATGATGTTCGCGCAACTGCGTCAAGTACTCCGATTTCCATCTTTTCCAAAAATGTTCAAGAACATTCTTAAGATACTTGTCTTTCTTCAACAGTTTGTTGCTTCCTTCGTCTTCTACGTCGAACTCTCCTTGCACTGGAACCGTAAGTATTTGTTTACTTAACACTATATGTGACGGTGTTAATGGTTCATCTTGATCTGGATATACATAAGAACTTGCGTCAGGGTTTCTCGAACTCCATTGTGCATGACTTGTTGGTGCTTGACATGGCCACTTTCGATTTTTAGAGGTCATTTTACGGCACTACCAAAATTGCTGTATTTTGCACGTTAATGGGAATATTTCACAAAACATGATTTCGTTTTATAAATTAGAGATATTTATTGATTAGCAGACGAAATTTAGAGACATTTCTGTAAAAAGTGAATATTTTACAGACTCTCTTAATGTTTTTTTATTTTCGAACCTCTTTATTATATGCCATATTAGGCAGCGAATATCTCCATTGTTACATCGATTTAGACAAAAATTTCATAACCAGATCAAAGAAATATGTTTTCGCTTGCTATTGATCAAATAAAATTTGGGGGCAACTTAGAATTGAATTTTTGACGAAATTTTTCATAACCCCTATTTTACCCGAATAACCGTATGTTAATATAATCAGCGTCGAGTCATGTAGTTCAATAAATAAACAAAGAGCTCGTCAAAAGCGTTTATTTCTTCAAGTAAACAAGCCTAGGCCTATAAAACTACCTTAGCTAAAGCTGTACTAGCTGTCAATCTCTCGAGGACGACCTCGCAAAGAGTTTTAATTTAATTAATATTAAAGCTGGATTCTTTCACCGTGATGTCATGCCAAAAGGTGTCTTTTCTATTTTTAAAAAAGATCCCGGCTCTCAGGGGTGGAAAATTTTTTTTTCTTTCTGGGAACCTGGGTCGAAGGCTAGAAATTTTCTGTAATATTTGTAATGTTACAATTACAAAAATAACAAAACAAATGCATAATTATTGTATTATTTGTACTTTAGTAATAATGGGCTTTAGGCTGGTTTTCGTACGCTTGTACATCACAATAGTTGTCTGATATATACCACAGTTATGAGTTACGACCAATGAATTATGAAGGATCTTGATTTTTCTTGATTAGTGTTGGTGTTATGTACTAAGGTGAATATGATGTTTGTGATGTTACTCTGAGTGTCTATCCACGCCAGGCAAACTTAAAAAATATGCCTGGCCACGATGGGAATCAAACCTACAACATTTGGAATACTAGCCCAATGTTCTGCCAACTGAGCTACGTGGTCAGGTCGGTTCAAGTATGTGATATTTTGGAACTGAATTTAGTTCCTTTGACATCAATGTAATCTAGTATTCCAAAGGTCGTATAGGTTCGATTCCCACCATGGCCAGGCATATTTTTCAAGCTTGCCCGGTGTGGATACACACTCAGAATAACATCACAAACATAGTAAGGATCTAACGCTTAACTAAGTGTCCTATCATCTTATTTATTCCATCACTTTTATTTGTTTACTATTTAATTTGAATTTTATTGGAGACTTTGCAGAGCATATATTTACCATTTTACCAGTCATTGTGATGGCAGGGTGGGTAAAAGAATTAATTTCTGTCAAATATTTAAAAGCTGCTGATGTTAGCATGTACAGTGTAAATAAAGTAGAATAAGTTGTAACTTGTAAGTTGAGTAAACAGAGTTATCTCAAAACTCTCAACTCAAAAAAGTTTCTGGGAACTAGGTTCCCAGGTTCCGATACTTTTTCCACCCCTGCCGGCTCTATTGATTTGTGATTTGGTAATATTAATTACAGTTGTATATTTGATTATTTTGTTAGTGCTCAATAAGTTTGAATTTGTTCTGAGAAAACAGTCAAACTTCAGACCAAATTTCTACGCAGTTACTTAGTAGTTTAACTGCCCATCACTTTTAAAACAGCAAGAAGATAAAGACAACGTGTACGGGTGAGTTATCCATGAAATAAATAGTTGGTTTACAAAATGAATTCCGTCTTTGTGGATAAAAATTTGTTATAAATAATCTCTCCTGTATGTGTTAAATGCTACATATAGGGATTTCCCCCGGTATATACCTTCTCTTTTGTATCGCTGTTTCTGATTACTCGTCTCTTGTCACTGGGTCATGTGGTGCCAGCAACTCTAATCCAGCTGATTCAGAATGCGTTCTTCTTAATGATTGTGATAAAAGAAATCAAGGGACACCTGAGGTCGCACGACGTTAGCTAGGATTCCAGTTTGAGAACAGAGTCTCGTCTTTCACCTGCACGAGCCGATTAGTTCATTATTTTCTACCTGACATTCTGACATATACTTTTGTCAAGAAAGTATTTGTCACTAAAAGTCAAGAAAGGCAGGCCAACTTTCCCAGAGGGGGCCCCAGAATGGTGGAATTGTGCAACATGTTAAATATTAAGGAATATTCTGAAAATTGAGGTCAAAAAAGGTCTGAAAAGTATTTTGAACACCCCCCATTATCGCAAAATTAATTTATATAATTAGACTGAGTTCCTTATCAGCATTTTGAAATATCCCTGTTACAAATAGAGTATTATTGTCAGGACGTGCCAAGCAATATCTGGTTGGGGATTGGTGGATGGTGAACTTAAAAAATTGGGCCTCCTTCCTTCCTTTCGGCGGCCCCCTCAAAATATTTTCTGGTAAGCAAAAATTTTACAGTAAAATGTAAAGGGTGGGTGGGTGGGGCGACGTTTTTTGGGAAAAACATTCCAAAAATTATTTTGCGATAATGGGGGGTTCAAAATACTTTTCAGACCTCAATTTCAGAACATGTTGCACAATTCTAGCATTCCGGGGCCTCCTCTGAGAAAGTTGGGGCCCCCTTTCAAGTTGACTTTTTCTGGCCTGAGTACTGCCTGAGTGTTCTAGATGTATCATACAGAAATGGTTGGATAAATGTAATTGAAATTGGACCAAAAGTATATGTCAGATAACGTGTAACCACAAACAGCCATACAAAAGAGAAGAAATATACCAGGGGAAATCCCTACATGTAGCTTAACACATACAGGAGAGAAAATTTATAACTTAATTAATTTTATCCACGAAGATGGAATTCATTTTGTAAACCAACTATTTATTTCATGGATAACTCACACGTACATATTGTCTTTATCTTCTTGCTGCTTTAAAAGTGATGGCCAGTTAAAACTACTAAATAAGTAACAGTGCATGGAAGTTTGGTCTGAAGTTTGACCAAAGTTATTGAGCAACAACAAAATAATCAAATATACAACTGTAATAAATATTACCAAATCATAAATCAACAGAGGGTCTTTTTTAAAAGTAGAAAAGACACCTTTTGGCATGACATCATGGTGAAAGAATCCGGCTTTAATATTAATTAAATTAATTACTGTAAGTAAACGGATTACAATTTCAACGTAAACTGACCTATGTTTTTGACAAAAAGGGCATGCACTATTTATGTTCGAAAAGTTATAAGCACGATGATGAGTCGTGAAAGAACACATATTTATGGGAAGGGGAGAGAAAATATACTTGCTTTTCTTATCGCGGCATATCCCTGATAAAATATAATTAAAACCAAATCCGCCAAATCAGCAGCGCCGGCTATACAATATATTATAGGCATTACCTGAACAATAAGTGACTGTAAACAGTGTGATTTAGACCTAAATGCTTTCTGCCAATCGTACAGCTTTAGCTAAGGTATAGTTTTATAGGCCTAGGCTTGTTTACTTGAAGAAGTAAATGCTTTTGACGAGCTCTTGGTTATTTATTGAATTACATGACTCGACGTTGATTATATAACATACGGTTATTCGGGTCAAATAGGGGTTACGAAAAAATTCGTCAAAAATTCAATTCTAAGTTGCCCCAAAATTTTATTTGATCAGTAGGAAGCAAAAACATATTTCTTTGACCTGGTTATGAATTTTGTGTCTGAATCAATGTAATGGAGATATTCGCTGCCTAATATGGAATATAATAAAGAGGTTCAAAAATAAAAAGCATTAAGAAAATCTGTAAAATATTCACTTTTAACAGAAATGTCTCTAAATTTTGTCTGCTAATCAATAAAAAACTCTAATTATCGTGCAAAATAGAGCGATTTTGGTAGTTCGACGTCTCTCTCCTTCAATATTTATCCGATCGAAATAAAACTTTCACAACATTAATACTTCATACAGGCCTACATTCTGACAAAGTTTGAAAGATTTTGAATTTTCTCATTTTACATGTCTTTCCTGACTATTACAGACAACCGCTCTTAAGGACTCTTTTACTTTTTGATCATTTGCTTGTTTGGACATTGGATGCTGAATGTCTTTAATCCATTTCAGTTCTGCGCTGTCGATTTCCTCACAGGTAATCTGGCCAACCATGGTATCAAGATTCTCTAAGGATTTCTTGAGATTGTTAATAAAATGTAAGACATACGCTGTAACTCGAAGTAATCTTTCAATAGTGCTGTATTCCAAGGTATCCATCAATTCCATGATATTTGGAATTTGTGTGACATTAATGATTGATGTACTAACACTTACGCCCGGAGATTTTAACTCGGAATCGTCCTCTTGGAAATTGGAAGGTTGGGATGGCCAATGTTCATTAGACTTTATTAAAAATTCAGGACCGTTCCACCACAATTTGTTTTCTACAAGCTGGGTTGCTGTTGTTCCTCGGGAGGCAATGTCTGCTGAGTTTTGTTTGGTAGGTGTACATACTTCCATAATTCGGGGGGTGCCAGTCTTCTTATCTCTAATAATCGGTTTTCAACAAATTGTTTGAATTCTTTGTTAGAATTTCGTATCCAACTAAGCACTACAGTTGAATCAGACCAATAGGTGACTGAATCGATTCTCTTGACGTCATTCAAGGCTTTCTTCACGCTTTCAGTTAACCAGGATGCTAGAAGACTTGATAATAATTCCAACCGAGGAATCGTCTGCTTTGACATTGGGGCCACTCTTGTTTTTGAAGCAACTAGATCACAATGAATACCTTCTGAGTGTTCACATTGTACGTAGACACACGCACCGTAAGAACTTTCGGACGCATCTCCAAAAGAATGCAACTCAGTTGACTTAATTTCACTACCGAACGAATCTGGACAATAACATCTTGGGATACTCATGTTGTTGGCTTCTTTCAATTTCTGGACAATCTTATTCCATTCTTCGCAGAATTCGTCATTCAGTGGTTCATCCTAGTCGAGTTTGCTCTTAAACAACTCTTGAAACATTTGTTTGAATCGAAGGGTGACTGGAGATATAAGACCTAATGGGTCATAAAACTTTGCTGCGATGCTTAGTATGCTTCTCTTCGTGATAGCATTTGTCTCAACATTTTTCAAGGCTGCAGAAAAGATCATAATTAACATGTCTGTTTGGGGATTCCATACTTGACCTAAGACATGAGGGTGGGAGTCAAGTTGCTGAGGGTCGACAATTGACTTTGAATATCCTTGATCTTCCTCCAGTACTGAACTCGGTAAATTAGACGGTTGTTGAGGACTTTCTGAAAATTGTGGATCATTTTGAAACTCCGTCATTAATTCTTTGCTGTTACACATCCATTTGCGCATATTGAAACCACCTTCGGACACTCGGGTTTTGATCTTCTTCGCCAATTCCAGGGCTGATTCTGGATTATTTTAACCAGATGCAAGATCATCCACGTAGAGGGACTTTAGCACCTTGGTAACAAAGGTTGGATCATTGGTGGAGTATTGAGTAAGGTGATGATGGAGTACAGCATTCAAGATGGCTGGACTGCAGGTAAGACCAAACACTAGTCGAGCAAATCTTAATGTTGGGGCTTGTGTCATGAATGTCATCGATCCAAAAGAAGCGTAAATAATCTCGGTGCTCTGGTGAGATTTTTCTCGATATCTGCGATCATCACTACTTTATATACGTGGAATCGAACCAGAATATCGAAGATCAGGGTGTTGAGGGATGGTCCGGTATGTAGACAGTCATTCAAACTTGTTCCAGAACCTTTTGCTGATGTAAATTTGTTTATTATTATTATTATTCAACTTTTTCTACGAGTGAAGATCTTAATTTACAACATGGTCCTTTAGAACCGGATAGAATTCGAAGGAAATTTGAAAATGTTGAAAGAAAATCGATTCGAATACGTGGCGGACATCGTGCTTACGTGAGTAAAATTATCGAAAGTGCCAACAAAATTCTCGAGCATTTTAGCGGATCTACGAGTGAAAGAGAAAAGTTAGAGAAAGTTTCAAGGTTACTTTAAAAGATAAGAAAGAAGTTCTTAAGAGTATGGACAAAACTATATTGGAGTTCACGAAAGATGAAGACATCAACAACGAGATAATCGAAGCTAGTGATATCGGTGAGTCGATTAATCGTTTCGCTTCTATTAATTCAAAATTTAACAATACCAACCCCTACCGCAGATGGTTTGAATGCTTGTGAAAATCCCTACATTTTAGTGGGAGGTATATTCCTGTAGCTACAATATTGAGCGAGAAAACGTTGTCTAAACGACGGGGTCAAAATCACACAATGTAAACAAAATTTGAAACCAGAATTATAATTAGAAAGTTTAATGCAACATAAACATACGACTTTTATTCGACTATATCTCTGCGAATATTACAGGTACAATAATTTTACGTATATTGTCAGATAGCTGGTGAATTCAGTTACATTTTGGTACGAGCTGTAATATTGTAGCTAGAATATTGAGCGAGAGTTTGTTGCCTAAACGAGGGTGTGAAATAATGATTTTCTTGAAAATCCGCCATTGTCCATTGATTTTGCGTCCTCATTTCACTGACACCGTATATCAAAATCGAGCTTCAAATCAACAGTAGGCTAAATAGTATTCACTACAAAAACTAACCTTCACTGTGTTTCCTCCAGAATTAAGGTAATTAAGTTAAGATAATAACTTTGTACTGGCTGTAATGTCTCAATCCGGAAGTGCAAAAATGCAAAGCAAAGTTACGCCCCCTGTCATAATTATTTTGCATGTAAAACGTAAAGTTTTCTGATCAAAACGCTCACTACAAAACTCGTAAACATCGTGTTTTTGCGGCGTGGGGTAACGCTTGAATGCAAATGGTAATATTTGACAGAATTTCAGACACATGGCTCAAGTAACAATCATATTTTCACTACATTCTTTCGCAATTAAAGTGCTTAAAATATAACTATTCTTACCTGTGAGATATGAATAACATTTTACGAACTTTTCCATGCCTTTTCCATCGTTTGGGTTTGAAATTTCAATAAGTTTCTTCACCATGTAAGACATGTAAATGTGCTTTCAAATTTTTAGCACAAAAATTCGAAATGACACTATCCCATGACACTTTGCACTCCGACACTTAAACTGGGCACCAGGCCTCCAGGCAATGCGCAAACTATTGCTTCAGTTGTCATGTAATATTGTTTCTCTACGAATATTAGGAATATTTACAAATGTTTTCAATCAGTTACTGACTGTTAATTAATCCCCGAGGCGACGGTACGGTACTAATTCCGCACAGCTATTTACACCCGGGTATTTAAGAACATAGAGAAGTGCAAAGTTGTCCTCCATTATGTGATGGACGGTCTTCGACGTTATGCGCGTGCGCGAGTACAAGCTCGCACTAAAAATTTTTTTTCATTTTGCAAAGATGTATTTCGCTGTTTCACAATATATTTTTGCGATGTATTTCGCTTTTAACTGGAAACAAGCCTGCAGTTTCATGAATTAGTGGCTGTCAACCGTGAAACAAAGTGTGAAAGGCATGTATAAACACGAATTTTGTCGAAGACGAACCAGATGTCTTTTTAAAAGTAAATTTAATCGTTCTCTTGGTTATGTTTGGGACTTGGGTAAGTGTTATAAACATTTCAGTATTAAAATTCTATACCTGCTTTGTGATACCATATGCTTTGTGATTAAAATGTAGTGATTAATAATGTTGTTTATTTGGGGCAATTAATACAGCGTGTCGTGTTTTTATGTGTGTTTATTTATGGTCGTTTACGTAAACTATAATCTATACTTATAACCTATAACTATAACTCAAAAAATAGCTTCTGCCTATAAAGCAAATATATTTTGCCGTATTCTCGAGCAAACTACTGTCGGCAAAACGACTGAGTTTTTTAGCTTCCCCTGCAGTTTCACAACAAAGTTTCAAAACATTTTACCGTTTAATACATTTTACGTTAAATTTTAAGCCCATTGAAAGCCACATAACATGAAACTATCGATACATTCCAAAATATGAAAATCAATGATTCTTTACTTCTTTAGTTAAAAATTATCTTGTATTATTTTCACGTTACCATAGCGACTACAATTATTTTAAACATGGAATGGAATACTTCATGTGGAATTTCTATATTTCATCTGTTAAAAAAAGGCGAGGGGTTGCTTCATGCATGTATTTCTAGTTTATTGATAATAAATTCTCGGAAAATGAAAATTCTCTACAATGATTCAATAAAACATGGAAAGAACTCAACTTTAGAAATTAAATTAGAATGTAGTTATATGGTATCAGGGATGATGGAAAGGGGGTGGGCCAAGGTCTCCTTTCCTAAAGGGGGCAAATGTAGCATTTTAATATAAATAAAACACAATATTTTTGTCCCAAATTTACTTTAATAACAAATTAATTAACAAAGATAAATATGATAGAAGAGAATTTGTATATTTAATTAGCTATTTCCCAAAGTCCTGGGTCTAGTCGCACGAATCCCTTGTTGAAGGGACAAGAAATATGGCAGTACACGTTTAAATTAAAGTTTAATGTAAAAAGGAGATATCTCATTTTTTGCTCATGTAAAAAGTTGATACTTGATAGTAGATACTTCTACTCTTTCACATATTTGAGAATGAGAAATTATTTTTATATAATATATATATATTACTTGACTTAATTCTGGTGATGGAGACATGGCTAAATGCAAATTTTACGGATAACAAGGTACTTCCAAACAGTTATAATATTATCAGGAAAGATCGGTTGGTTAACCAATGCGGTGGTGGAGTTCTTATAGCTTTGTGTGACAACATCTCTTACAACAGACTTACTGCTGGAAAAAATAGTCCAAACTGGTCAGATCGTCTTGAGTTAATTGCAATCGAACTCGAAATGGCTAACTCAAAGAAAGCTCTTGTTTGTGTTTGCTACTGACCACCAAGCTGTGACATTAACAAATGGCTCAAGTTGTTAAGTTGTTCCACCTGTGTATGGTTAAGTTGTTCCACCCGTGTTCCAATATCTCTCTTGTCTTTGGTCTCTAAAGTTTTTGAACGTTGCATTTATAACCAACTTATATATCATGTCTCCAGTCAACTTCACCATCTACAATTTGGTTTTCTCAAAGGCAAGTCTACCACCTCTCAGCTTCTGCGCATTCTTCATGATATAAACAAGTCATTAGAAAACCGAAGCCAAGTCGACTCGGTTTACCTGGACTTCACAAAAGCATTTGATAAGGTCAGCCATAACCTTCTGTTAGTTAAACTGCAGAGGTTTGGAATAAGAGGTGATCTTCTGCTATGGTTCAAAGACTACCTCTCAGGGCGCTACCAAAGAGTAACAGCTCTTGGTGAGTCGTCCCATACTCTCCCTGTTCTATCTGGAGTTCCCCAAGCTTCAATTTTAGGACCCGTACTGTTTCTGGTATTTGTGAACAATCTTCCTGATTCACTTTCAACCCAATCGTCTGTGGCTATGTTTGCCGACGACACAAAGTGTTACCGTCCCGTGAACAAGTTAGCTGACTGCGAAAGTCTGCAAAATGATCTAAATAAACTTGCGACATGGTGCAACGATTGGAAGATGGACTTGAATCAATCCAAGTGCGGGGTTCTTAGCATTACTAGAAGTCATCAACCAATTATCGCAGAATATCAGCTTATTGATACTTCGCTTAAGTCATTAATTACCCAGAAAGATCTCGGGATCATTATTTCCAACGACCTGAAATGGAACAAGCAAGTTCATGGCACAGTATTAAAGGCAAACATGATGCTTCGCTTCATCCGACGATCAGCCTCTGACATCAACAACATCCAAGTCCGCAAGATTCTTTACCTGTCTTTGGTTAGAAGCTCGAGTTTCTAGATTTAGTTTATCTCTACAACTGTGTTGTTAATGACTCTGATACAAACATCTCAATACGGGTTTCTAATCGTAGAACCAGAAACTCTAATTCCGACAATGGTATTCTACTAAATGTACCTAAATCCAAGACTGTTAGCTTTCAAAACAGTTTTTACGTAAGAGCACCCAGCGTTTGGAACATTCTACCCGATATCCTCAGAAACACTACAAGGTCTTCAGCTTCCTTTAAAAGTTTACTATTTAGATACTACTTTAACCTTCTCGAACACGTCTACAACCCAGACAATCCTAGAACCTTTAAATCGGTGTGCGTCAAATGCCACTCTACTCGTTCTATTCAAAATTTATCTTTCAGATCATGTTGTTGACAGTTTGGCGAAAGCCAATTAATGTTTTTGTGCATGTATAGTAATTTGTATTTTTTGTCGGGACCCCGTTATTGGAGTTTATCTCTGTGGTCAGTCCCAGCCAATGCACTCATAGATATTTGAATAAGTTTAATATTTGTTTGGTGCGGTGAATCTTGTAAAATAAAAAAATAAAATAAAATAAAATACATTAATAAGTCATGTTAATGCGTCATGTTATGTTGTTTTCAGTATTTCCAGATGCAAAAAAAATCATCAGAAATAAATCCAAAACAGAAATCTTCAGGTATACATTCTATTCATATTATTTTTGGTACAGTACACATTTTTTGGTACAGTACGCATTTATTGGTACAGTACGCATTTATTGTCCATAATATAAACAGGAAGACGTCATTACTTAGTGGTACAGTATATTATGTACTATAAAACATTTTCTTTTTAGGAAATTTCAATCCAAAACATTTCATCTCCTTTGAGGGGGTGTATTAAATATTTTCTGATGCGTTTTTTTTGGGGGGGTTTCCAAATTTTATGGTAGTATTTTGGAATACCCCCTCCCCCCTTGTTTTTCTTATATACATTATATAGTCCATCAAGCAAACAGCCCACAATAAACATGCAACCAGGTTAAGAACCAATGCTCTGATAAGAATGAATCCTAACTCGATTCCAAAAAAATTCAGAGGTGATAAACAAATGATGACAAGGTAATAATTCATTATTATATCTTACTTTTTTCATACAATTTTTGATAAAATTATCTATCAAATCAATAACGCATTCCTTTCATAAAAATTAGAGTGTTTTCATGGATTGCGGTAATCCCATTTAAAGAAATAAACGAAGAACAAAACCTGGAAAGACGAATGTTTCCTGATGAGAAATTAAAAAATATAACAACAAATTTGGCAATGAGCATTGGTGATTTTTGGAGCTTGCTCCACAGTTTGGTGTAATGCACATGGACCAGATGTTCACACAGATCTTGTCACAAGTGAAAAGAAACAAATTGGATGTTTGTGCACACTTTAATCATGCCTTGTTGCTGTGTTACAGTAAATATATTTGCTTCATACAATGTATATGTCAATATGTGCTTGCAAACATGGATGTTTGGTGAATGGCATAGGTTAATGCCATAATGGTAATATGAGTCCAAATTTTGTGCTTAATAACTTTCGGACTGCTACTTCTAATAAAACGGTTTTAGGCTTATTTTAAAGCCTGTTCATTTATCTTTTGAACAAATGGTCATCCATGTCTTTAGTGCAAGTAATAACTGCACAGGAGAAAATTTAGTAAAACCTATCATGTTTAGATGCCGCTTAATTATACAAATTTACTGTGTTATTCCATAGTCGGTTGCAATGTTTGAATTTTCTTGTTCAAACTTTAATTTCTTGTTGCCACATCGGAAAAACTAGTAAGAACTTGTTAAAAACATTCTAAAAGAGAATAGGTTGTTTTATTTATTTCAAAATCCTATATTATTTCCAGAAATCATCAAAACAACCTTACGTCCATGCATCGTCCGAACGAGCACCATTGAATCGGGCTGTAATGTAAATATAAATTAGCAAGTTGACAGCAAGCTAAAACACGCTTCAGCCGGTATTATAACGCATTTGAAGTCAGAAAGTGAATGACAGCAAGCTAAAACACGCTTCAGCCGGTATTATAACGCATTTGAAGTCAGAAAGTGAATTTAAAATAGTGTATTGGAAGCCATTATTACTTGATTTTTACAAGCAATTGCCAAAATGCCTCAATTTGCTTGTTTTGTTGACAAAATAAGTTATTTTCATCAAGTACCCAAGGGTGGGTTGACTACAAAATTTTTGTAGTTCGCTATAACTACAGCTACTTCAAAAATATGTAGTCAGCTACAACTACTGCTACTTTTGAACAAAGGTAGTTCGCTACTGACTACAGCTACAGCTTAAAAAATGTAGCGAACTATTTCGCTACGCTATATTTTTAGTGTTACTGTATCTGGAGCATCTACTAACTCAGGCTGAAATGTAACCTATAACAAATCGACTTATGAATAGCAACAGTAAACACAAAGCAACATTTTTGTAAGCACTACAGTGTTCAAGAGTGCAAATTGACTATTGAGTATTGATTTTAAGCAAACTGTGTCTCAATATCATTCTATTCTATCAAGTTGCTAACAATTTTAGAAAGTAGCGAATAGCGATTTGCTGTTTGAAAAGTAGTCAACTACTTGGCTACTTTTAGGCAAAATGTAGTTCGCTATAACTACAGCTACTGTTTTAAAAAAGTAGTCAAAAACTACTGGCTACTTGAAAATTGTAGTTCGCTACAGTAGCGAACTACAACTACTTCGCTACAACCCACCCTTGCAAGTACCGGTTTGTTATTGCATCTCAAATTTTTGACTCTCCAATCGCAATCACTTAAAATATTATTATTCACGAACTTCTGGATTATATTTACGAAACAACCCACCGTTGAAAAGCTGAATGTCTACGCTTTAAAATAAATGTAAACCTGAACGTTTTGCTTTAATATTCGTTTCGAAATTTATATTTGAAGCGAGGACTCCGTTTTTTATGATACACCCTGTATATCCTCGCCCTCATTGTGTCACATTAAATTCACATATTCAGTTACAATCTAATCGTAGTTTCCCTTGTTTTTTTGCGTACATGTTCACCATCACAGGAGTTGGAGTAAATAAATAAAGGATAACCATTTAAACTACTAGTCCTCATTATTTAGGCTACACAATGTCTTACACCAGTACTTGTCCAATTACCTATTTCATACCAATGAACAAGTTTCTGTCCCTTATCCACATAACTCTGAAGATAAGAGGAGACATGGTTACAAAAGCTGGTCACAAATGATTGTCGGTGAGTGAATATGATGCAATAAGTTGTATACCAGAAAGTCTTTATATGTTCCTCTTTCTCTTATATGGAGGTCAACGTCTTATTGAGAGTGACAATTTGGAAGTGGAAAGTGAAGAGAAGACATGGCAAATGGTCATGAATGTTATGTTGCTCAAGATTTGATTTACGGTGTCAGCAAGGGGACAAAATGGACA